TGACACAATGGTGCTGATGGCATACTGAGTGAAAAGGAGAAAAATGTCATATACCCTTTTTTGTGTTATTTAGTATTATTATGAACAGTGTGAGCCAGTGGCGAGTCCATCTTCCATTTCGATTACGAGTTATTGCTTTTCGTCCACAGAAGCATCATAGGCTGCCTCTCGCTGTACTTGAACAGCTGAAATTTTTGGGATTTATCAAAAAGAGACATGTTATGTCTGGCAGGGGTGTGCTGTCATTTTAAATGACTCTGATCTCATAGCAAAGACATTGTAACGTATTATTAACAAGGCAGAGTCCTTTGAAATGGGTGTGGCAAAGTTGATATTTTCTATGCCACCCTTGGAAAGGTTGTCCATCTTTCCCTTCAGGCGGTGAATGCAACAACTGGGAAAGATAAGCATCCGAGCAAATAACTCAGGAGAGAGCAGACCTCCACTAAGGCTGAACCACTTAAACCTCTGTGCAGTTAAAATTGCCCCATTTAAAAATCATACTTAAAAAAAAAAATAGGATGAGGCTACTTTAGGTTTGTGGCATCAACAAAGTAAAATGAGACTCACTGCTTCTGGGCAGTGAAGAACGAGTGGGGCCCGAGTGATGATCTGAGTGAGTTGTCTCAATCGCCACAGGTGTTATGTGGAATAAGCTGGTAAAAATAGTCCACACATCTCATCTGCAACTTCACTGCGAAACAAACAACTCCACTGTCAGGTGGACGTGAATTGCGGTGGCAAGACGCGGTTGTGAAGCAAGGTTGTATTTTTTTTTAAAAAGTTTAAAAACAATATGAGTAAAATAAATAATTGTCCATATGCATTAAAGATTTTTTAAATTGTAATATTATTATAAATATTCAAATAATTATATTTTTTCAGTCACTGAAATAGCTCTTTCATTTATGATGAAATAAAAAAAAGAGCTAAGAATGAAAATAAACAATTGCTCAAATAATCCAAATTAAATTAATTATAAAGACTACAATTAAAAATGAAACTGAATCTTTATCTTATTATTAAAACAAAATCGACTTTTTGTTTCACAACTTGGTCAATTGGGCGTTGCTTCGTCAGAGAAATCTCGCGATATTTCGATCGTTAGGGTCGACCAGCTTGTCTGGAGACGGTAGCTGCTGAGAACGCTCGAATCCTCGACGCCATACACGAACTGCAATCGGATCGGAAAAACATGCTTTTACTTCACACATACATAACTTACATCTGCTCCACAATCCCATCTTCTATTTAGGACGTGGAGGAATCGCCCCATTTGCGGGTTTTGTCCCGTAGCTGCTGCTAGCGTCGAGCTAGTTAGCTTCTTTGCTAAAAAAAATCCCTTTCGGAAAAATACAGGAAGCAGTGCTCGGACGAAGCGCGGCCTAAAAAGGTTTCGCTCTACGAACAGACTACGTTGATTATTCTCAAAAACCTACGCAGGTAATTGCACAGTTTCCATTTATCTTGTCGTGTTGTTAACGTTCCAAATACATGAGCTAAGTTAAGAGGTCCAAAATATTATGAACATTTTATTGTGACGACGTTCGTCTTTAATGGCAGCGCGTAACGTTGCAGTCGGGAGCGGTTTCGGTGATTGAATTAAAAACAAATCGCATTTGTGTCAACGTGTAGGTTGAAATGTGCATTATTTCGTCCCGATTTCAACTGCCTTCTTGTATATACATTGAGCATCAAGGGACACCTGTTTTTTTTTCTTGTAGGCTTTGCAGCACGTGTTCCCATTATGACAAATATAGCAGTGCTCAATTGATGCTACACGTGTGACACGTACATCGAGACGCTTTTTTGTTAAATGCACCGCGATCAGTTTCTCATTGGGATTTGATGTTTACTTAGCGTCCGATGACGCTTGCAGGACTGGTAAACGGATATCGAGTCATTGAAGCGGCTGCGTGGCTGTTTTAAGACCCTCGTGGGGGGGAAATTGTGTATTCAGATAAGACAATTCACATACTGTCCTCCTATAATGCCGAATGGCGAGTTGCAATTTGGTTGCATCCCTTAAAAGTGTGTGAAAGCCTCACCTTAATCATCCTATTTAAGAACATACAAGCTATCTGAAGTAATTAGTGGGACACCGACAGCCTCTGCAACCGTGTGTGTGTGTGTGTGTGTGTGTGTGTGTGTGTGTGTGTGTGTGTGTGTGTGTGTGTGGGCGCGCGTGCGAGTGTTATGAGGACGGGGGAGGGGGGGGGCTTCCATAGACGCGTGTCCAGACAATTGTTCAATTGTTGCCGTTGACAACAAAGCGGCGGAGCAGCACACGTAACGCAAAATGACACGCGATGTACACAAAGTACACAATCCACCCGTCTGCTGCCCGCCACGTCTTCTTCCACACGCCGCAGCTTCTTCTTCTTATTATTCTTCTTCTGCTCATCACAAGTCACAAGGGCGCATTGAGCAAGGACAGCTCATTCAAAACGCAAGTCCAAGCTTATTTTCAAATTCTTGACCACAAGACTTGCCAATGACTTTTCCCGTCATGGCCATTGCAGCGGCGCCTCTCCATCAGCTGGAGAACGTTCGCCAATCTGGGCCTGGGCCGTCGCCCCCTCCACATGAGATCAACTCCAAAGAAGTCCAAAAGCTCCAATCGCACCCTTGACAATCTCCTGACGTGACAGATGCCACTCGCCAGAGACGCTGACGTGGTCAACAAGGGACCACCGGTGGCCATTTTTGCCTTTGAAGGTTGCTGGCTAAGGCCCTGCAATGCTTTCCTATGATAATGTCCCCCCCCCCCCAAAAAAAAAAAAAAACAAGGCGAAATGTTCCAAAAGAGTGAAGGTTTGAAAAGAAGACTCACACACATACCTCAACTGTTGTAATATGGAGCTTTTTTGTGGTAAAACCTGAAATTGAAGACATTCTGGAACTTTTTGCTGTTCCAGTTGGCTTTGCTCATTTTGGACAGTTTGGGAGGCTACGGAGGCACCTGGACAAAGTGCCGAAAAAGACTTTGACCGAAGGCACAAGTCAAAAGTGAAATGGATGTCGGTATAACGGGACAATCAACTTTTTGCCGTTCGGCAGCAATCGATTGGATCCGAAACGTGATCCAAACGTGTCGGCTCTGCAGCAGGTAGACAAACAAATACGGCCGCCCCGAGGCCAAAGGTTGCCCGGATGAAAAGATGAAATCAAAGCTTTAATCTGAAGATTATTACATCAATCTGCTTCATCGTCGTTCTCTTCTTCAAATCGCGCTCGTAATCCCGCACGTCAACATTGCGATTTATTGTTCTTATTATGACGACGATGAAACAAGCGTCAACAACACAGAGCGCATTTTTCACGCAAAAGGTCACGTCGGGTTCCTTGGTTAGGGTGCTCACGCAATGATTGCACATCACAACAAGAGAAAAGAGGAGAGGAGAGAGAAGTCGAGAGAAAGGCAGAACCAAAGTCAAATAGAACCAAAAAAAAAGACGTTTTTTTTTTAAAAATATTGACCGAATCGTCATGGAAGAAGAAAGCAAAGGAAGGACTTGGAGCCGTAGCTTAAGGATGACTGCACAGTAGTGGAGGTATTCCACCCCCAAATGAATCTCGCGCCCAAGTGCTGCTCAAAAGTCAAAGCCAACAGACGCCACTAAAACCGAGTCAAAGGTCATCCGGGCAGCAGGAGCAAAAAACGGAACGACAAGTCAAAAAGCCTCCCGATAAGTTTGTGAATGCCGCGGATGCCGGCCTATTCAGCCATTTGCAAAGTCCCCCGATTGGCTGAGTGGCGTGAACCGAAAGACCAGTGGCAGAACTTTTCGACAGGTGACCAGGCGCCATGGTGGAGCCTTTCGAACTGGAGTGTTAAGGCTCCGATCTCTCTCTTTGTTGCTCTTTGTTGCGGTCAGAACCCCCGAGCTGCAGCCTTGTGAAGGAGCTGGATGCTCTTTTGATCGAATCCGGTCCCCATAATTAAATCTGAGCACATTTCTGCCGCTCTGCGTGCAGGAAGCAACAATCGGTCAGACCTGCTCCCTGCTGGTATTGAGCGCAGGTCAAAAAAAAAAAAAAAAAAAAAACAACAACCAGAACTTTCCCGACTTCAATCCAGACTTGTGTGTATGCCAAATGACCTGCCTTAATCCCGTGCATGTGCGCGCGTGTATATGAATGGTTTTAAAAAGCAATTAGAGTCAATCTTCTTATGAGATAATTAAAGCAAAATGAAGCTTGTTTTTATTTTTGCTTTAATCTCTTTTTGCTTTTTTTTTTTTTTTCCCCTGCCAGTGTAAGGCGGGCAAGGCGAAAGCGGCTCGCGAGCGCACGACACACACACACACACACACACACACACACACACACACACACACACACACCGGTGCGCGGCTGACCGGTGATTTTTTTGCTCACAAGTGCAGTTATCGTAGTTTGGAGCGTTGATGCAACGATGATTGTCAATTCTGGCATTTCATATCATCTCGAGTACATGTTGGGAGAATGTTTGTCTTACTTGGTTTGGTATTGCAGTTCAAAATGTCGTGGTTGACGGTCGCTTTTTTAGTGGGGGGGGGGTGAAATGACGCTTACTGTGTGCCGTTGTGCAAATTCGGCCTGGCAAAACATTATTGGAGCCGCACTTTGCTCATCGGCTTGAATAGTGATGTTGAAATTGTAGTTGTCACTTTTTTTTTTTTTTTTTTGGCAAATGACAAGTTTGTGGGCTCGTCATAATGACGGTGAGCAAAAGTACATGACTGATACTTTTGCATTCATGATGTTATTCTACTGCGACGCCACACATGTTTGTGGATCACGCCGATTAATGTACTCGACGATACTTCCAGTAGGAAGTGGGATGTATAAAAAGGATGACCCGTAATAAAAGTAGCAGTTTTGTGTGTGTGTGTGTGTGTGTGTGTAATCCTCCCGGATTGACACGAGACATCAGGCCCCCACCCGCCACACACCCCCCCCGCCCTCCCCGTGGCCAGCTGGCCTCCCATTGGCCGCCGGCCTGATCCGCCACACACCCGGAGGCCCATAAATGGGGCGTGTTAGGCGGGCGGGTCCCGATCGGTCCAGCTCTGTCTTTGTCGTCATCACCTTCGCCCCGGCGCTCTTCGGCGCTCTTTGGTGCTCTTCGGCGCTCTTCGGCAGTCTTTGGCACTTTTTTGGCAATGTCGGAAGTGATGCAGGACAAGTCCAAAGTCAAGTTGTCATCTCCGGCCTTTCCCGACAAATCCCGCCTTCACAGTTCGGGGTTCCGGTCCAAAGGCTTCGCCATCACGGACCTGCTGGGCCTGGAGTCCACGTCGGCATCATCCGGAGGGGGCGAGCCTCAGGGCGGCGGGGGCGGCGGCGGAGGTCTGGGCCAGAGTCTGGGGGGCGCCTTCTCCTTCCCGGGGGCGTCCCTCCCCCTGGGTCTGGGCTTCCTGTGCGGTCTGGCGGCCCAGCAGCCGCCCGGCTCGGCCGGAGGACCCCCTTGCTTCCTGCCGGGCCACCTGCCCCTCCTCCAGAGACCCGACGGCCACTTCATGCACGGCGCCGACCCCCACAGGGATGCCTTCTCCGGTACGGCCCCGAGTGCCCTCCCGGCCGCTTTTCCCGCTCGTCGCTCTTTGGTCTCCTTGTTGTCATGGTTGTTGTTTGATGGTTGGCGGTTTTGTGGCTTGCTCTGTTGTCAGATGAGGAGGTTCTGTCCGACCACAACGAGTCCAAAAATTGTTCATCGTCTCAGAAGAGGAAGAAGCGGCGCCACAGGTGACCACCGAACTTTTACTCGTCTTGCTTTTATTTTCACTGCGAGAGAGGATGACGAGGGGGTCTTGAGCTGCTCATGAGTCCAGAACGGTGTTGGGGAAGTTCGTTTGCGACACAGTTCAAAGTTCAGCAATTTTCAAAAGAACTTTGTTGCCGTTCATCAATCCAAGTTCACCGTTCCCAAAATGAACCGGTGTCAATTTGTTCTTGGGAATACGTTGAACGCGAGCCCTTCCCCTTTGGCATGCTGGCCTTTACCTCCATTGAGGGGACACTGGTTGACCGCTGCAACGTTCCAGACCAGCAAAAAAAGTTTTTGCTGGTCTGGAAAAGAAACGAAGCTTTCCCCGATGAATTCTCAGGGTACGAATGCGCTTTAAGAGATCCAAAGAACGCAAGAATGCAAGAAAACAAAAACGAGTCAAGCGTGCAAATAGACTTGGGTGTGAGTGATGACAAATGAGCAGCTTGAAGTGCAAGGCCGCGTGGAAGACATCGGGAACGTGCCTCTATTCGAAAAGTGTCTCAGCATTGGCACGCTGCTTCTCAAACGTTTTGACAGCAAAGTAGCACCGAGAAGAAATACGTTGTCGTCATCCGGACCGACATTAGCGGCCAGCGCTGTCGAAGACCTCAATGTTCAGCAAAAATCAAAGTAAAGCCACGGTAATATTATGCACGTTTGAAAACATTGACCGCGCTGTCCAAAAATGATGTCACGCCTTCTATTCAATTGAAGCTCGTAAAAAAACTAAACGCACATGTATTGCCTTGTGGTGCAATACGAGCGGCCCGTGATTCTTTTCATGCAGTCAACAAGGAAGCCCGTGAGGCGCTCGTGCTACTGACGGAGGGGTTCTCATCACAGGTGTGGCGTGGGGCCCCCGTGAAGGTTCCCAC